CGTACGGGTATAATTATAGTATATTATTTTTTTCTACCATAGCAGCAGAAACCATATTTTATTACCACGAAAGATAAATTTTTAAAAATCAAAATTTTTTTTTTATACAAGCTTTAAAATAAAAAGTAAAGACAACTTATTTTATTCTAATTTTCACTCTTTGCGATCCCTTACTATCGAACCGTAAATAAAAAAAATATGATAAACTTTTATTTCTTAAGAAATATACTAAATAAGCTTTATGTTGCACTTCCATCCATTTGAATTTTCATTGACAGATTAAACAAAGATCAATTGAATAGAACTTATTTGCAGTTCTTTATCTGTGGTACATTTTACATTTTAGCATGTGCTTTGAAGTCGGACTCACTTTTATGTAAATTCTGCCAGGGTGACTAGGATATTTATATTTTTCATATCACCATATATATTCTGTGTAGTCATTTTGTTCCGGCTATTAAGAGTTGTGGATAGTTTGGGCAGGCCTTTCTCATTATTGGACAGCTCACGTCTAACTCCTGGTGATATGTAGAGATAGTTGAGGTGGGATATGAGGGGATACAATAAGCCATGGTTGGCTGGGGTGGTTTGGGGAGAGCAGTTTCTTGGTCTATATCGCGCTTTAGTCATCAACAATCTAAAATCAAAGTGCTTTGAGTAAAAAATGTAAGCGTTTTCAAAGTGTTGGAAGTCAATGGGGCAACTATTAGCGTCATTAAATACGTTATGGTTGATTTACAAATCATAGAACTTATCAAAGTAAATGGATATTTTTTGTTTTTTCAATACGATTTTTTTTGCATTTGACAGAACATTTAAATCAATTGTTGTCGATCGGAAGACTTAACTTAAAATGCCGACCCTTAAATAATTACAATCTCATTACTTTCGAAAAGACTATAATCTTACGAATGTTTTCCATTTTATAGGTTGTTCTTAAAACCAAATGTGCTTCTTTAAAACCTTCTTTAAAGTTATTATTTACGATTTTTTTTCTTTATCTTCTTCTCCGTTGGAACACAATTTTCTTTTCTTTTTATTTGGGCGCTTGTGTGAAAAAATTTATTTTTACAACTTGTTATGCTGCATAACATCTTATGCTACAAAATACAAATTTATTGCATTTTAATTTAAAATTTAAAAAAAAAATGAATGACCGACAATATTATCAAAAACATCTAAGGATTATCGTGAGTTTAAATAGATTTGTTAAGGAGCACAAAACAACACAAAAACAAAATAGGAACGGCCAACAAATTGCAGTACATAAGAAATTTTTTGTCTCCTATTCCCATTCAGCTTTTCTGCTATTGTGCATTTTATGAGAAAAATAAAGATCTTCTTTATAATAAAAATATTGTTAAATATATTTCTTGGCGCGTTTTAGCTTAAAAAGCATAATAAAAGTTTTTTTTTTATAAAATTACTATTAAATGTCAGTAAAACTATCATTATAAATTTATAAATGTTTTGCAATTGTATATGTTTGGGTATATTATGTGCATAATTCAAGTGCCTATTCAATTGATATTAAAGTGTTTTTTGTACAATTTTATTTCACAAATTCTTGGACTTTTAATAATTTGATATTTTTATTTATAATTTATAAAAATAATGAAAAGAAATTTTTTAAATTTAAGTTTTATGTAACACTAAATGTTGAAATTTCGGGTAAATACACTAGAGATTTTGTACACGAATTCAAGATTGGTAGAATTAATGTCGTGTCGGGAAATGTAATCACATTTAGTTCAACTTAGTACAGTTAACCTCTCATTCATTATTATGAAGTGAATACATAACTAAAACTTCTCTAAAAAAATATTGTATAAAATGGTGAACTCTTTTAGATTATTTATTTTTGATTTAAATAATTTATGACTTGAAAGCTACAAAGTAGAATATTTGGTTAAGTATTTCAATTTGAATTTGAGAAATTAACTACTTTCCATGGAATAAATTCATTTCAAAGCAATTACATCCGATTTCAACTTTGAAAAATTTATCACAACCAAATTTTTAATAGCTTTACAAACAATTCATCTCTTGTAATTCTACAGACTCAGAAATAAAATACAGAGTTGCAGAAATAATTCAGTTACATAATCCAATTTGAAATATGAAGCAAAGTATATCTATAAGAAGTAGTTCGACTCTTCGTTTACATCACACTTTTTGTATCACCAATTTTTGTATACAAAAAATTCGCTTAGCTAAAAAAATTAAGCAGTATACCTTCTTATTTTCATTTTTATACACATAAGAATTTTTGGGAGAGGGAAAGAGCACGCAATAGATGTCTACCTGAATGAATTTTTAAAAGCGGGAGTTATTTTTTTTTTCGTATATAAAGTATAGGAAAAAATATTAAGAATTTTAAAAGCGAAAGTTTCATTTCTATAATTTATTCCACTACAAGATAGCAGAAATGGTGAATCCATATTATAAAAGCGAAGCGCTTTAAAAACAAAATTTGACACATTGCGGCTTGACGTAAAATCAGCTCGAAACTCAAGCTGCGTTTTTACTATGTTAGCTTAAAATCCTGAAAACGACATTTTGCTATTAAATTTCAATCATTATTAATATTCAAGTCAAGTAAGCGACTTCAGTGAAGCCGGCTTCAGGTCAAATAATGTTTATATAGATAATAATAAGCTTGAAGCAGCCATATAAACGGTGTACATATATATTTAATAATCATAATGTGTATCTAGCTTGAATAAGTATATACATATATACTGTATAACAGGGGTGGCCAGACTTAGTCATGGTAAGAGCCAAAACTCAAAATTTTGAATTTTTTGCGAGCCGCAATGATATAAATTATAAATTATGTAATATCTGGTTGAAAATGTCTTAGTTCTACAAATAAAAAAGAGTTAGAATTAAAGAAAAAAATATGATATTTTTATACTTTACTGGTTGATGCATGTGGCTTGGCGTGTATTACAATCTGGCTTATAATTTGTGAATGCCGTACATATAAGCTCAGTCAAATGTTCATTTGTTAGCTGCGACCGGTGCTTAGACTTAATAAATTTGATTGTAGAATATAATGATTCGCAGCAATATGTTATGCCGAACATTGAAATTAATTTACTCAGTAATTATTGTGGAAATATGAAGTCTTCACCAATAATATCAATTTCAAATGGATTTACAAGAAAATTTATACAAATTTTAAATTTTTTTAAATCTTGAAATTGTAAATTAAAATTCTCCATCAACTCCTGCAATCTATCCACATATTCTTTAAGCTTTTCATTTTCTATTTCCGACTTTTTCTTTCAATCTCGGAAAATGATTGGAATTCATTGTCATTATATCATTTTTAAAAAGTACCATTTTTTTTGAAAACTAAAGATTGTTTGCGTGAGATCAGAAATAGTTTTCTGCTGACCCTGCAAATCTAGATTGAGTGATTAAGAATTTAAGCTTTGACAATATACCTATACAAATTATTTTTCCATCTGTTAAGTAAGCGTTGACAAAATTAAAAAGTGTGGGAAAAGATATACTCTACTGCGTTTTTACTTTTAGTCAAATTTCTATAGAAAAAACTTTTTTTTGGAAAATTTTTTTTCGACTTGAGCTGCACTAAAAATATTTAATTTTTTCTTCGAGAGCCGCATGAAATTGGTTGAAGAGCCACATGCGGCTCCCGAGCCGCAGTTTGGCCATGTTTGCTGTATAACAAAGTATGAAATTTTAAATTTATAACTATTACTTTCATACATTCGAATGTTTTTACCTAACTTTTATGAAATGAAAAATAAAATATGAAAAATAAATTTTGTTATTATCAAATTAAAAATAACAAAATTTTTACCTAATTTAATTTTATTTTATTTCAGTTCGATGTTTTTGATACCCTCGTTTGTTTACAATATTTTGTTTTTTTCTTGCCTCCAAAACTCTTATTACTCGTACCATCTATTTCTAAAGAAAAATGGAATATTTTAAGATTTTGGCAAGAAAACGAAAAAATAACGGAATGGAACGAGTCGAACTACTTCTTTATAGATATACTTTGATATGAAGAATTTAATTTTATGTTTATTTAAGAAATCGAATTGTACCGACAGAACTTCAATTTTCTTTTCAATAGTATTTTATGAAGGGAACAATTTAAAATTATTGCCAAAGGTTTTTTTTAAATTGAAGCTCGAAAGAGCAAGTTCTGCAATAAATACAAAATAAATTGCTGCAAATTTAAAATAAAATGCAATATTTCATCTGTTTCGTTAAACAAATATGAATCCAAAGTTGCAATTACTTATTTTTGATACTTTTAATATTTTATTATTGAATTCAATTCAAAAGTACATATTTCGTTCTTATATTATGAAAGCATTCTCATAGCTTAAAGTTTCTCACAATAAAAAATCTAAATTTTTATTCCAAAACCTCTTAGACTTAAACTTTCATCTTATGGAAAACTTTTTAAAATGAGCTTTTTAATTATAATACGTAACAAATAAAAAGCTTTAAACAAGAAAGTTTTAATCTAAATAATTGATAAAATAAACTTTCCGGTCTAAAACAAAAAACTCATAATTATAAAATATATGATTAAATTTTTAGACTTCAAAGCATAAATTTTAAACCAAAAAAAAAATTTAAAGAAAAAAACTACAATAAAAAAACAAAACAATTTTTGTACTTCAAGGTTTTATTTTTAAACAATAAAAAGTTTAAATCAAAACGCAGGTCAGAAAATTTGTGTAAAAAGCGAAAAAGAGAGCAAAATAAAAATAAATACATAATTATGAAGCAGTTATATGTGTTTGTGTTGCATATACATAATAAACAAAGAAAGTGAAAGAGATCAAATATGTGAGAAAGACAATCATATGAGCAACTTATATGAGCATGGTCAAGCAGCAGAATAGTATGAATGAACAGGAAAGACATATACTGGAAATATAAGAGTATTAAAAAATATGTTGAGTAAAAAGCGTTAGTTGAGTAAAAAACTTGAAAGAGTAAAGTTCGAAATGAGTTTGCTACATAAATATATTCAAGTTCATTTTGTAGAAGAAAATATCAAAAAGTTTATATTAATTGAGAAATCTAAAGAAAATATTAATTGTCATCCAGAAATTGTCGATTTCTATGATGTTTTATCGTCGAGTAAGTATAAAGCAAAATTTGTTGAGTTCAAAATTGATTTTTTACTTCTATAGTTCAACAATTTACAACAAATAAAAATTTCTCACATTTTACTGACGCAAGCGGAACTGAAATTTCAGAAAATATCTTGGTTCGGCTTTTATCACAATATATATATTGCGCAAATTTTGTTTTACATTATCATTGTAATCCAACTTACGTGTCCACAAATTCTCACAATGTAGAAGCTAAATCTTCTTTAATAATTGATGCAGAGGTACATATTCTGTTTTCTTACTTTTTATTATTTAATATAGCGGTGAAAAAATTAATTTTATATAGACTTTGAAAAATTACATTATCAAAGAAAATGGTTCATGTATTTTCGAAAATTATAAACGCAGCAATTCGATAACGGATAAGAATAGGAGACACTTAGTAAGGATCGTGGCTAAATTTATTATGGAAAAATTTGAATCTAAAGCAAATAAAAGAGACAAAACGCACATTGCTAAGTTACTCGTTGATATTTTCCCATGTTTCAAAGCGAATACAGTTCATGGAGGTTCTGTAAGTACTTTTTAAATTTTACTGTTACAGTTAAAAAGAAAATATAATCGTTAATCAACTCGCTTTATTTGCTCTTATTTCCAAGGAAATTTTCTACAATCCTACGAATAACAGTGGATTTTTTGTATCTCAATTAAAATTTTTAAACTTTAAAAAAAAACATTTTAAGGAAAAAAGAAAGATTGCTGTTTCAGAAATCGTTGCTGCAAAATCAAAAAACAAAAAGTTGACCGAAGAAGATTTGGAATTTTTTAAAGAATTCAATTGGAAACCAAAATTACCATTGGAAAAGAATTTATTAATAAAGAAACTTAAAGAGACTGCAAGTGCTCGTAAAGAATTTTTAAAAGATGCAAAAGATGTTTCAAATCTTTTCCCGTTTTACTTAAAAGATGCCAAAATCGTAAGTGTCCACTTACATGACGACAAAAATACATAATTATATTTATTCATACATTATTTTTTTTATTTTCAGATTTTGTTAGATTTTGAAATTCTTTATCCCGAAATAAAAGAATCATTAGAAAATAATTGGAAGAAGGTATCAAAACAAGTTATGTTAGTACTTCAACATAAAGGGCTTGAGGATCATAATATTTCAGGTAAGAATTCATTTTTTTTTAAAATGCTGATTATTTTATTATTATAAAATTATTAATATTTTAAGAATGGCATGAATCTATCCAAGAATTTATAGCTTTGTTAAAATGTTTTCCACCACCAGCTGGCAAAACAATTAAATCTCGTTCTAATTTTTGTACATGTGTTGCCAAATTCATACGTTTTTATGATTCAAATGAAGATATACAGAAAATCATTCCAGAAAATAAACAACCTGTAATAATTGTGACGGGTACATCAAAAAAAGATATAACCAAGTATTTTATAAGCGTAGACAAAAAATTATTATCTATACCAAATGGTTTCGATTTTATAAAAGTTTTTGACATTTATTTTAAAATGTTTTATGTATTTAATATAGAATATGATAATGATTTGAGAATATTTATGCTGTTCTTCCAAAAATACATTTATAATTTTCCAAAGGTTAAAGAAACACCTCGATTAATAGAAATTTGGAATATGTTACAAAATTTTACAAATGAAAATTGTGGTGAAAACTTTGAGACTGTACTCGTAAATGAGATCGATGTCATGGAAAATATTAAAATTGAATTTGGTGAAGAAATGATGATATAAAACCGAATGTATTGAAATGTATTGAAAACAATGGTATACAAGCATGTAAATTAAAAATTAAGATAAAAAAATTAGTTTTATTTGTTTTGCATATTGAAAAATTTGATAACCGGCTGGAATGTGCATATCCTAGTTTATTGAAAGTATTACAGAAGATTATGAAAACGCATTTTTAATACTTGTTTTCAATTTGAAGAAAGTTAGCAAACCTTTCTCTAATATACTTAGAAAAATTATTAATTTTTAAAGTTATAAAAAAATTTGGCTCTTAGTAGAAATTTCACCTCGTGCCATCCGAATCCCCTGAAAAGTTCACCAGTTAGTTTCGAAAACAACCAGAACTCAAATATGAATGTAGAAAATATAAAATCGATCCCAATTTGGTTTTCGACTCTTAATTTTTCTAAAGAATTTATAGATTCCTTGTTTTAACATTCCCAATTCAAATAATTTATTCAGGAAAATTGGTTGATTATTTTGCTTTATGTACGCAAAAAGGTCCAGTTACGAAGGCTAAAATAAATTTGTATACAATGCAGTCCGTAATAATAAAATTGTCAAAATGAAAACGATTTTTGATTTCTAAAATGCAGTTGTATGGCATTAATGTCAGGTTGAGCTTACTAGTGTAATTGCGAGTATGAACTTATGATTTTTGAATGATGGTGTGAAAAAAAGTTTGCTGATCGCAGTACTTATTGGACTTTTGTTTTCAAAATTATGTACATACATTAATAGCATTATTAAATCCAATCACATACATATATTATTATGCACAGATAAATTTTGCAAAATAAGCGGAAGTGCTAGTGTGAAGTGTTAGTGTGATACGTTCGGAAACAGCCGTAGAAACAGCGGCTATGATTTTCGAGGGCTCAGAGATTTTCGAACATGCCATATTTTTAGATTTGGAATTTATCGAACCTGTTCAACTACTTTATATGTATTACGATATAAAATAGAACTAAGTTGCCTAAAATCTTTATCAAAATATTATCTTCAATATTTGAATATTAAAAGAAGGGTTCTCTTACACCGTACTGTAACCATTGATACATAAATTAAAAACCTAAAACCAAGTATATTTTATATCTATTTCCATCTGCACTCTTGTTAAATTGAATAATAGAAAAAAAAAAACGAAAATATAAAACTGGATTAAAAATTTTTTTAAAATAATTTCAATTCATATCCTTTTTGTTTGTTCCTATTAAAAAAAAATAAACGGATGCCAAGTTTTCCAATTCAAATGCTATACTAATGATAAAGGAGCAAAGTACAAAATGAAAAGAAAACAAAAAATATTATGAAAAAAAATAATATGAATATTTTATTTTTCACTCTGCATTATTATGCAAAATCGAGAACAGTATATTTGTTAATACCAATGTGCGCACACAATATTAGATTTCATAACACAAAAAAGATTTTCAATTGTATCCTTTTCGGTTTTTCCATATATTACATTGTTTTATTTTTGTAAATGCAAGTATTGTAAGAGCATAAGAATTGCATTATGTTCTATTATTTAGACAAAAGTAAATAAAAGCAAAATACAAAACAGTTAAACCCATATTTAAAATTTTACACAGAGTTTGCAAAATGCTTGCTCACCTTCTCAGCAAGATGTTTTAAAATATAGGTTGTTTACAATTATTAACAACAACAATTTACTATCGCTATATTAATATAAGTATGTATATTTAATCGGGATAAGACGAAGGAAATCTTTACGAAAATTTAAGTTGGAGTAAATATTTTGATTTAAATATTGTGCTGTACGTCCGATATTTTGTTTAAACACAAACCTCCATAACTTTGTATTCTTTGCGTAAATTTAAAATATTCAGATATGCCACAAATTTTACAAAAAATTAAAGCTTTAATATTACTTAAAATAAAATTCAATTTTTTTTTAATTTTTTTCCCATATTTATCTTGATTTTATTGCAATGTTAAGTTAAGTAAAAAAATGTACACATGTACCTAACAAAAAGACCCAAATGAAATGAGATACAAAAACTTCCTATAATTTATAAACCAAATATAGAAAGATTCTTATAATTTTCCTGGAACAAAAAATTCACCATATTTTTGAAGAAATATTTCAAAACGGCAACCCTACTTTCAATTTGAATAGCATCATAATACTCTTTTACATTCTCTTCAATAATTAGTCTTTCTCTTTTTGTTTTTAAAGAAAAAAAATTACACTCTCATTATTTCTTTAAATGGATTTTTTTTTCAATTATCACCACACTGCCAAGCAAATAAAAATTCTTTGGATTTTTTATTCATTTACGTTTTTTTTCTTCTTATAAGTACTTATATTGTCACCGTATATTTCGCTGTTTCTCTATTGCCACCCAAAAACATATTCAAATTAAATTCGAAGAAAAATTCACCTATAAGGATTATTGTAAAATAAATCTAAAAAAAAAAATCTATAAGGAATTTTCTGAAATTTTCACGCCTTTAACTGGTCGACTTGCGTTCAGGATTTGCGTTATGATAAAGTTGTGAAGTAAGCAACAATTTCTTAAAGTAAATTTAAATGAGTTGTACTGTAAACTTCTTAAAAGAACGAGAAAACATTTTTTTTCTAATTTTGAATCCTATATAAGAACTAAACTGCAATAATATTCTTGTACGTACGTTTACTGCAGTATATTTTCTTCATTTTTATTTTTCTTTCTTCGGGTATATACAAAAAACAAAAAAAAAGGATATGACCTGATTTTTTACTGCCAATACATATTCATTATTCTTCTATTTAAAATGAATTGGTAGTATACTTTTAACATCCGTCGTTAGTTTCCTTCATTTCTCTATACTTAAGATTATTATGTACTTATGTATGAGTGATTCTATTGTATAAGTACCTATGAATATTTCAAGTATAAAGAAAAAATACAAGTACTAGCTATATATACGCTATTATTTTAATTTTTCAAATTCTAATAATTTTATTTATGATTAAAAAATTATTTGAATTCTTTGATTTTATTTTCTTAATATAGAAATTTTATTAGTTTTCACATGTACTTACATATACTTATATGTATATAAATATTGATCTAAAAATAAAATGAATAATTCAAGTTATTTTTAAAAATCCAATTATGATTTTTATTAAATATTTTGATTATACCACCATATTAAGCTATTAATAAGGGCGCACACATTATGTGCAAGTATAGGTTTGTGGGTACGTTTTTAAATTTCTTAAGCAAAATGAAGTTCGTTTTGTTTTGAATGAAGGTCTTCGATTTTGTTTGATAATCAAAAATTAAAAAAAAAACAACAAAATTTATTTATAAATTTAAGTGTAATAAATTTTTAAGCTTATCTAAATATTTTTTTTCCAATAATGGTTTAAAATTATATCAAAAGGTATAAATTACACGAAGGACACCGCCACCATTATAAATCTTATATTAACAGTGTATACTAAAATAATTTTTCCAATATTTTTATTTTTACATCATTATGATTTTAATTGCCTTGTTTAAACAAATTCAATGTTATATTTATAAATTTTCAACTATACTCATATACATATGTATATGTATATAAATATAACTACATAAATTTTATACCTATTCTGAACACATTATGTGAAATTGAAAATGTACTAACAGTGCCTACCAAAATTTTTGTGGGATTTTAGATTAAAAAATTTAAATAATTTCTATTATTCTAAGGCTTTAGGGCAAAAGTACAAACATCATTTTCTGCAAGTGCGTAAAAGACTATTTTTTCTAAAAATATTTTCTACATTTTTGTACCCTGCACATTATTGAAATTGGACCAATTCATACAACAGGTTCGGCTAGCTGCCATACAACTCAAAAAGTTTATTTTAAATATTTCAGAAATGAATGAAAGTATTCGTATAAATATGAAATTTTGTATACGTGTGTCCAATTATATTCTTACTATGCTCCAAAAATTTTAATGGGATGACTGCACCAGTTTTTGTGGCTGCCATACAATTCGAAAAGCAAATTTTATATAAGTATTTAAAAAAATAAAGCAAGATTCATAAAACTTGGCAGTTGTGTGTCTAATTATGGGTCAGATATATTTTCAAAGTTCTGGTTGAATTGCTTGACAGGTTCCAAACGCTAATTTTAGATATTTTGAAAAATAATAAAATCAAATTCATGAAACTTGGCAGTTTCCGTGCAGTTTCTATAGAATGGTTTCACAGGTTCGATTAATTGCTATAAACAACAATGAAAGGTAGAGGGTATAATTCAATCGGTTTATACCGACTGAAACATTTTCACTTGTTAATTATAAGAAGGTCAGTTATTTTGGCTATATGTTCCTTTACAGTAATTCTGGAATTATTACAAAATTTTAAGTTATTTCAGAAAAATAAAAAAACTGCACACCTTCGCTACGCGTTAATTGCACCCCTTCTTTTATTTAGCTAAAAATTATTCAGTTCAATTCATTGTTTGGAATAGTTTTATGCAGTTTTATAATACTTTGCAACCTTTAAAATCTGACAAATCAAAACAATTTAAAAACTAGAAATTTATTCAAATTTTGGAAAATTTAATAAAATTATTTGACTAAATTTTTCAATAGTAAAATTTGCAAAAGAAAAGTTTTGAAGCATGGGCAGAATCTTAAATTTCAATGGTTTAAAAAGGCTAAAATTCTTGAGCACATTTTAGATAAAATAAAAACAAATTATCAGAAATTTACAAAAACTCCGAGGACCAGTGCCAAGATGTCTGCTAAGAATGTTGAAATTGAAACAGTAAGAGCAAGAAGCTTATTTAGAAACTTAATTACAGAAATCCTTTAAAGAGAAAAATTAGAAGAAACTCATATCAAGGCGTTTGAATTTCAAATTTAAACATGCCTTTAAACATTGAAGTTTTATGCAAAGTTTTTAAATAATTGTAATCCATAATTAATTTATCCCACTAATTAAGAATTCCCCATTAATTATTAAATTTTTTAAGGTTTTTTTTAATCTGAAA